AGAATTCAGAGATTAAAGTCAGAATTCTGACTTTTTCCCCATACTATACTGAAATAAAATTAAAAAAATCTATTAACTTTTTTTTTCCAGTGGCCCTAATCCTCTTCCGTAGGGTGATACCAAGCAAAGCTTTCCTGCATATAGATAATTATAAACATAATTATCTGCTAGATTTCCATTTCTCTGTAATTCAGCCACCAGGGGGCACTAGACTCAGCCTCAAGGTAAGTGTTAAAAACTGACCTGAAAGATTCTCAAATTAAGCCAATAGTTTGGTCAAAAGTTTTGAAGTATTGCTTTTTTTTTTAAGTTAATGTCCAAATCGTAGAAACGCTTTATTTTTTGTCTCATTCCATCTAAGACGTTAGTTTTCTCTCCATCCATTCAGGTGATGTTTAAGGTGGGTTAACGTCATGGAAGTGAAGTAGTATCAGAAAAAAATCCCTTCATGCCTCTTTAATCAGATATTCATGTTTTTTTGTTGTTGTTTTTTTATAAAAATGAAAAAAAGGTTTTTTTAATTCATATTTTAAGATATATAAATTTTTTGTACTGCTATCATTTTAATAATTGTTTGTAGAAGCCGTCAGAGGTCAGTGAATTTTATTCTGAAATTCTGAATTTCATATAAATTATAAGTTTCTACCCTATGATTATGTCATTTTAAACTAAAAAAATGATAGCTGCACAAACGAAAATTTTTGCTACACAAAACAGCACAAACTTTTGACACCAATTTTGTCCGATTTGAAGAAGGTGGGGCTGGTTGACCTTTGATGACCTCTAGAAATATCTCTTTATATCTTTAAAATGATAGCAGCAAAAACGTTTGACGCTAATTTTGTCTGATTTGAAGAAGGTGGGGGGGGGCCAACTTCACTCAGGTAAGCGATGGATCTATCCTTTCTGTTCAATTTGCAGGTTTTCTAAACAAAAACAAGGCTTTGTTTTTGGTCCGCTCTTTAAAACCTGGAACTAAACGCTATTTCTGACATTTTGAATTGAAAAAGCTTCCTGGATGGAAGAGAAACGTCTTCAAACTTGGAAACAAAGTCCAGAGGATTGTTTTTTAATTTTTTGGAATGACCGACCAAGATCCATCATAACCGATCAGATTAGAAATGATCAAACTGGAGGTGCAGAGAAGAATGCAGATGGTCTGGATCTGTACAGAGGAGAGTTTATGCTGAACAAAGTTTGACTGATTCTATTTTTGAAATTCCACAGCAGGGTTCCTGATTTGTGTTTTATTTCCGCCTCTCTTTGCTCTCAAACTGAAACCTTTCCAAGTCGCTTCGACTTTTAACATTATTGGCTTTTTTTAGGAAGCTCTCTGCCCACCACTGAAACCTTCTGCTGAGGGGCAGCAGAAGGAAAGACTGACTTAGAGGAGAACATGAGAGGGAAACCAACTCTTTCTACTCTTAGATTCTCTAAAAGGAAAAAAAAATCCTCCCAAAACAAACCTTGGATTTATTTTTAATCAAAGTTTAACAACATTTAAATATTTGTATTTACATTTATTGGAGGTTCTGGTTCCAGCACCAGGTTCTGTTTTCAGATCTCCTCAGAAGCAGGAGGAGACTTGGATAAACCCAGAATCAGCCTCCACCATCCCAGACCCGATGGACCCGACCAGAACGGCGAACAAACTCCTGCGGATCAGTTTGGTTTGATGGTCTCTGGTTGATCCCGATCGCTGGACCTGAACACCGAGTCCCAGTCCAGTGGTTCCGATCCGGCTGCAGCCTCCGGGCTCCTGGGGATGGCCGGGAACAACGACTGCATCTTCTGCCTGAACTCTGGCAGCTGGAAGAGAAGCAAAGGATCAGCGGGTCGGAACCGGCCTATCAGAACCTAATCTCTGATTCCTCATCCTGAACTTTAAATCAAGCAGGAAAAGTTTCTGCAAAGATTCTGGTTATTTTTCTGATCATTAAATGAATCTAGGAAAGAAATAAAATAACATACGCTGTGAACGCCGAGAGCTTTCCACACCGTGACGCTGAGCAGACCCACTCCACACCAGGCGAACAGGGAGCCCCAACCCAGGGCTCTGAGGGCCAGTGAGGCCCCGGACTCGGGGGCCGCCACCGTCGCTGCGACGCCCTGCGGAGGAAAAAGGTGGGTCATATTCAATAGAAGTTTCCTAAAACAGAAGGCCGGCCAATAGGAGCCCACAGACGGTAACCATGGCGATGCTGTGGGTTAGAAACCAGACTGAGGGGATGTTTGTCTAAGGATGCCTTTCAAGATGGCGCCTGGAACGCTCCCATTTCAGCGCTGATGACATTTTACAGGAAACTAAATGACCAAATATGGTCAGAAGCTGGATGTATTTTCTGTTAAGGCAATATTTAA